GGATGAATTTATGGTAGTACTCTGCAGTGCCCTAGGAAGGCAAGGACCTGGGTCTTGGTTCAGAGTGGGCCAATTTGCTACCACTTCCACCTGTGTCGGTCGTTGCTTCCCACATCATAACCGATGTCCTAGATATTGGACCTCGGAAACCCCAATATGGCATTTGTCAGGTGGAATGGTCAGCCCTGCCATCCGAACAGCAAGCTACAATGTACGTGTTATCACAGAGTTGCTCCACCACTTGGTATGAGCGCTGTCATGTAGCCTTTAATTTGTCATGCCTGATTGGTTTCAAGGCCAACACTTTCTGTCCTAAGTGAAACGTTTGGTCTCAGGCAGACTGGTCGTACCACCATTTCTGTCAGCTCTGGGCAGCCTCAAGGTTGTCCCGTACTAAGTTTGTAAACCGTTGTAGCCTCTCCCTGAGCTCCAGCACATAGGCCACCACCGAGGTCCCCTCCTCGGCCACTGCTCCTTCCCAGTGTTCATGTAGGAGATCCAGGGGTCCCTAACCCTCCGGCTGTACAGCAGCTTGAAGGGAGAGAACCCAGTGGACTCCTGCGGTACCTCTCGGTAGGCGAGCAGGAAGTGGGGGAGATGCCGCTCCCAGTCCTTATGGGACATGGTGAACGTTTGGAGGAGCTATTTCAGAGTACCGTTAACTCATTCGCAGAGCCCATTGGTCTAGGGGTGGTAGGGAGAGCTATACAGTGGTCTGATCACACACAACTTCCAAAGTTGTTTGGTAAGCTTGGCTGTGAACTGCGTGCCTTGATCGGCCAGGATCTCCCGAGGAAATCTTACCCGAGTAAAGATCTGCAGCAGGGCTTGAGCAACTGTTTATGCCTGCACATCTCTCAGTTCTACGGCCTCCGGGTACTGGGTGGCATAGTTGACAATGGTCAAGATATACTTCTTGCCTGTGGGACTAGGCTGTTTCAGGGGCCCCACTAGGTCCACGGCGATACGACTGAAAGGTTCCCCGACTATGGGTAGGGGCCTCAGAGTGGCCCTGAGCCTGTTTCCCTGCTTCCTTACCTTCTGGCAGACCTCACAAGACCGACAGTAGTCCCGAACATCCCCCGATACTCCTGGCCAGAAGAAACTCTGGGTTAAGGGATGCAGGGTCCATCAGTTGCCCAAATGCCCAGCAAGGGGAATATCATGTGCAGTATGAATATGGAGGAGATTATGCTGATATTTCCTCAGTACTACCATCTGCCGGTGAGGTATTTGGGCAATGCCCACCCCTGCTCCCCCATGGACCCTGTACAACTTGCCCTGGTTCCACTCATACCTCATGTCTCCCAATCCCCCAGGATCACTTCCAGCCCTCTGTCTATAGGGGTCTAAGGTCTGGTCATTGGCTGTTTCTTTAGCAAAATCAGTGGGGAATCCCAGATCAGGGCAGGGACAAGCTCAGCAGGGCGTGGGTACTCAACTCTTACCGGAACCTCGGCAAGTGGAGCGGCAGCATGCTCTCTAGCTTTGTGGTGACTGGATGAGCTTCAGCAGGGGTCTCGGTGCCAAAAGTAGAGACCAGGACTCCTTGATCATTTCCAAGGAGAACCTCAGCCGGCAAGTTCTGCATTACTCCAATTTCAACGTCCCTGGCCCCGGCCCCCCAGTCCAGATGAACCCTTGTGGTAGGAATCCAGTAGACATAACCTCCCGCTACCCACCTGGTCTTGGCCCAGTCTGGTACCAGTTGGGGTTTGACTAGGGTGAGTATGGCCCCAGTGTCCCGTAATCCTTGGGCCTGACGGCCATCAACGTGAGCAATCTGTTGATGATGTTGTCGATTGTCTGGGGTGGCCTGGAGAGGGTTAGCCTCGTGAAGGCCCCAATGTCCTCATCCTTGGTTGTAAAATTCCTCCATGAAGAGGCAGTGTTACTGGGGTGGTCCTGTAGGGAGTAAGCAGAGGCTCGGTCATAGGGAGTGGTGGGTCAGTTGAAAGTGCCTCCAGGGGTTTGGCTGGTCTGGGGTCTTGGTGGATTCCAGGGGAAATGAATACAGATGTGCCCTGTTTGGTTGCAGTCATAACAGCGTGGGCCAGACCACTTTGGGTTGGAAGGTGTGGGTGGTTTGAGGCATTCTCGGGTGACCGGAGTGGGTACCACTGGTTGTGGACAAGGTGCAGGGGGAATGGCAGGCTCGGTTAGCCTCCTGTTGTCCAGGTACTCTTCTGCCCAGAGACTAGCATCAGCTAAGGTTAGGGGATGTCTGTCCCGGACCCAATGTCTAACATCCCCTGGAAGTCCATTGTAAAACTGCTCCAGTAACAGGAGTTTCAAAAGTTCCTCCAGCTGGGTGATCTGACACCCTAGGACCCGGCTGCGGGCAGCGTGTTGTAACTGATGTCCCCATTCTGGGGTTTCTTCTTGAGCACCCCGAACTTTAAGCGGTACGCCTCTGGGCTGAGAGTGTAGCTGGCCAGCAAGTGTGCCTTAACAAAATCATAATCCAAGCAGTAGCTGTCGGGTACAGTCCTGAATGCGTCTGCAGCCTGACCAGTTAACTTGCTGCTCAAAATGGGGACCCGGTCTTGGGCTGCCACACCATGGATAGTGCACAACCGTTCAAAGTCCTGAAGAAAGCTGTCAATGACCCTATCCACCTCTGAGAAAGTTTTAAAAGCAGTGTAGGGAATTTTCTTTGGTCTGGTTGCAGTCTGGAGAAGGCAGGAGGTAATCCCCTCCCAGACTGAGTCCTCGGCTGATGACCAGGAGTGACTAAGCCACAGTTGGGTGGCATCGTCCAGGGCCTTGGAAATCTGTTCGGAGGTGGGAGCACTGCCAAACAGAGCTAAACACCACTCCACCTCTTGTAAATCCAAATGGTATAGGGGTCTCCATACGGTGCTAAACGGGTCTGGCCTTTCAGGGGCTGATCAGCTGCTCTGTTCCTCTAACTCCTAACGTGAAGCAGAGATTGCTTCTGGCGGAGTGGTGTTCACTTTAAGTGTAACGGAGTGTGCATCAGGTGAAGTGGGGTGTGCATCCGCTTGGTCCAGGGCCATAATCTTGTTCAACAGTTCTCTGCGATACCTCCCCGAGTGACAAGCAGACTTTGGAGAGCCAACTTCCGGAGGTCCCGTATATCCATCTGGCCAAGCAGGGATGGCTTTGTGAAAAAGATGGGGTCCCACTGCTGCCAACCAGTTGTGGTGGAACCGTTCTGCCTGGGCTTCCTCATGCGAAGCGATGTGTCTCAGCCAATGGTCCCCTTTTCCAGCAAGTCTTCCAGCTCTCTGCCAAGTCGGGAATTAGAGCTCAAAGAAATCCTTCCCTGATATCCCAAACCATGGGTCAGAAATTTGTGTAAAGTGAATGAATGCTTTGTTAAACAGCTCAGTTTATACAGCACATCCTGGCAGTAATCCCTGCCCCCTTTCACCCCCAACAGACAGTCTGGCACCTGGTTTTCCCCACCCATAACAAAACTCTACAACACAACAGCAATCGGCACAGCATGTACAACATTATGTAACAGAACCGGACCCTGTCTGCACTTGGGTATTTCCGTTAGACTTCCGCTTCCCTGTCCGAACACAGATCCACGGACACCACCGCTTACCCAACAGGAAGAGACAGAACCAAACTCGTATTAACACAGGAAGTGGACTGCTTTATTTTAACATAGATACAAGATATATACACAGGCCGGGGAAATACACCCAGTAACAGGAAACACATCAGCAGGCCATCCCATCAGGGGGAAGGGCTGCCAGAAACACCCCCTCACCGAGCCAGTATAAAACACATATATCTCATAATAGTTTGCTCCCAAGCAAGACACACAATAGAACAATGGGATACACCATGCAGCAGTAGACAATACACAAACCCATACATCCCCTAATAGTTTGCTCCCAAGCAAGACACACAATAGAACAATGGGATGCAGCCACATGGCAGTGAACAATGAACACCCCCCCAACATTAGAACATTCCACCCTGTACCCCTAACAGGCACAGAGTGACTTACACATAATAGGGATATGGGGAGCTGAGACAGGGGTCTCCCCACCTCTCCAAAGGGGGCTGTGTTCCATGGGCCCCCACCCAAAGTCACTCCCGTCACAATACTTGATGCCAAGGGGCTAAGCAATGTGTTCTAGGTACCTTAGAAGGTGTGATTACACAGACGTATACTAAGGTGGCCATAACTAGGGGCTTTGTTTCAGGCATGGAAACTTATCTTGCTAGACTGGGAATCTCCAACCCCACCCAGTTCCCAGGAATGGCTTCACCATATGGACATCACCCAGCATTATTTTCCAGCATAGGGGGTTGCCCTGGAAAATTTGACAAACTGTGGGATAGATGGATGAGTACTCCGGGTCTAGCGCCCATTGAGCTAGTATTGTATAAGATGGTAATGTGATGCAAGGTGTACTCCTATACTTTTGAATTTTAACATATTATTTTTCTATCCCAAGTGGACCATGATGGCTGTGAAAACCCAATAGCATAAGGCTGTTGTGCGCTATGTTGCACGTTTCTTCTGACTTTGGATGTATGTTTCATTATCTGACAATGCATGTCGTGATACTGATTGTACTCTGATGTCAACTCTGGAATGTTTTGGATGTTTTCATAAATTTTCTTTTTAATTAAAAAAATATAGAAAACATCTCTATTTAGCCTTTTATATAGAATTCTGACTTTTTTGTTTTTCTGTAGATTGAAGAATCAAGTTTTCGGTCATGGTCTTCATAAGTCAGTCAGTCACATGGGGAAACGAGCCATATGGATGTCTTAGGTGACGGAACGTCTTTATTGTAGTTCACTGGAGGATTCACACAGGACACGAGACATATCAGTGTTCTAAATGTTGTAAATGGTTTGGATCCTCTTCAACATTGATTCACCCTCAGAGGACAACAGGAGAGAAGTCATTTCAGTGTTGTGGAAGTAACAATAGCTTTACAATGTAGTTCAACCCTTGCATCCATAACAATTATTTCAGAAGCTATTTCTTGTTTGGATTGTGATAAAGGTTTTACAATGAAGGCAAAAACATACCACACACCAGAAGGGTCACACTGAAGAGAAACCTTTTCAGTGTTTTGAGTGCAACACAGCTTTTACAACAAAGGGTAATCTTACCAAACACAAGAGGGTTCACACCGGAGAGAAGCCATATCCGTGTTCTGAATGTGATAAAACCTTTACATCGAAGGATCAACTTATCGAACACCAGAGAATTTACACTGGAGAGAAGCTATATCAGTGTTCTGAATGTGATAGAACCTTTACATTGAAGGATCAACTTATCACACACCAGAGGGTCCACACTAGAGAGAAGCCATATCAGTGTTCTGAATGTGATAAAGCTTTTGCAATGAAATGTAATCTTATGAAACACCAGAGGATTCACACTGGAGAGAAGCCATATCAGTGTTCTGAATGTGATAAAGCTTTTGCAATGAAATGTAATCTTCTGACACACCAGAGGATTCACACACTGGAGAGAAGCCATATCAGTGTTCTGATGTAATAAAACCTTTAGATGGAAGGGTTATCTTCTCATACACCAGAGGATTCACACTGGAGCAAAGCCACATCAATGTTCTGAATGTGATAAAGCTTTTAAAACAAAGTCAGAGCTTATCACACACCAGATTGTTCACACTGGAGAGAAGCCATATCAATGTTCTGAATGTGATAAAGCTTTTACAATGAAGTCAAGTCTTATCGAACACCAGAGGATTCACACTGGAGAGAATCCATATCAGTGTTCTGAATGTGATAAAGCTTTTAAAAGGAAGTCAAATCTTAACAGACACCAGATGATTCACACTGGAGAGAAGCCATATCAGTGTTCTGAATGCAATACCACTTTTAGAGAAGCGTCATCCCTTATCACACACCAGATGATTCACACTGGAGAGAAGCCACATAAATGTTCTGAATGTGATAAAGCTTTTAAAACAAAGTCAAGGCTTATCATACACAAAATAGCTCACAGTGGAGAGAAGCCATATCAGTGTTCTGAATGTGACACAAAACATTTACAACCAACAGCAATCTTATCATGCACCAGAATACTCACACTGGAGAAAGGCCATATCAGTGTTCTGAATGTGGCAAAGCTTTTGCATATAAGGTTAGCCTTATTATACACCAGAGGAGTCACACTGGAGAGAAGCCATATCACTGTTCTCAATGTGACAAATCTTTTAAACATAGAGAACAACTTAACACACACAGGAGGGTCCACACCAGAGAAAAGCCGTAGCCGTGTTTTTTTACATCACAGCTGATCACACACCAGAGGATTCACAGGCTTCAGCTGCAGGAGGTAATGGGGAGAAGGGGGGTTTTAAAGGGGTAGAATCCCAAGACAATTTTACCTTTTGACTATTTTTTTCAGACAAGTATCAACAGTGAATTGTGTTTCCTAATGATTTTAATCTCTATCCTTTTTATAGAGAGCTTTGACTGAACATGTAATATATTTTCATCATTCATTAACTGAGCTGTGTTCCCAAGTGTTTTCTTCATTGCCAGATCCTGAGCTAATGCATTTACCAACACTGCCTCAGCACCAAGACTAGGTAGTGGTCAAGTGGCATCTTACCAAGCCTCCAAAGCCTCAGTGGGAGAGACTTTTCTAGATTCTGCTGACTATTCCAATATCCGTCTAGCTTGAGGGCTCCAGCTACGCTCACCTTGTCCACGCCTCCCTTCACATATTCCACCTCCCCTCCAATGATCAATTCCTTATTTCCAGGTTCCTCCTCCTCTTATGGATGACAGCTTTACAGGTAGGACTGCAACAGGGACAACAGCCATGGAGAAATCTCTGTTCAGTGAGAAATCAAATTCCTAAGCTGGTGTAGGCCTTCCAACACCAATTCACTGCTCTTTTTTTGGGATGTGTTCAACAGTTCCACTTACAGCCCAGCTGGCTGCTTGTGTTCCATCTTGTCCTGTCACAAGTCTAAGGGATTCCATCAGGAGAAGATTGGACTTCCTTATTATATTGTCTCTCTGTTCAGCTATTGCTCCTCTCCATAGACCGATCACATACTACGACTGCATCTTCTGGGGGACTGAAATTCCTCTGACTCGGGTTCTCTTCAATGACTCTGAATAGTCAATTCTCTTTTTTTGGGTAGATATTGTTTGCGAAGAACCCTTTTTTGACCCTAGAAACATTCTGATGTTGACCCTAAAGTGTAACTATGGTTAGAATTAATATTTACATAAAGGGTGCAATCTGTCCTTAACCACTTATGGTGATGTCCCAGTTCAGCACATTTACACCTTTAGGATTTGTAATCTACCCAAATGTATTATACATCAGTTTTTCATGTCAGAGGGTTTTAATGTGGTAGAAAATGTGGATACGTATATTTTATTTGTTTTTTCTAGGTAACACTTGTGATGTCACTACACTCCTAATGTAAATACGATGCAAAAGAATTCTGTTTTTGTTGCTTTTACAGTGTTCTCCTATGCAGCGATCTGTTAAAACATTGAAAGCCTGGGGGGGGGGGGGGGGGGTGATGATTCCGGCTTGTGTGCTTAGTGCTGAATGCCGGCTGTTACAGAGCCTCCAATACCTGGATCTGGTAAGACCGGTGCTGCTTTAATATGGCACTGGGACCAATAGCCACTATCCCAGCTGAGACTCAAGTGGTTGTTTTTCTGAGTCCTTCTTGTAACATTTTATGACTTGTTGATCCTGCCAGTAGAGCCGTTATTTTTCTACTTCCTGAAGGAAGGAAACCGTCCTAAAAATGGCAGCTGGAGGGGTTGAGACAAATCAAATAACACTGCTGGGGTGCATACAACTGTCAGCTTTTATTCATATGGTCTAAACCTTTGTAGAAAGGAACAAAACTGTTGCTGGAACTGCTTTACAAGTGTCAGTTGAAGTTGATTTGAATGTTTTTTTGTCTCTTACTGAACCATTTGGCATGTTTAACCTTCTTCCTGTCCAGGCCATTCTCCAGTTTTCAGCACCGTGACATTTTGACTGACAATTACTTGGTCATGCAACACTGCACTTAAATTCATTTTATATTTGTGTTGTGATAGATAGACATTTCTTTTGCTGATATTTAATCATTACTGTTTTTTTTTTTTTTCTCTATGAAAAGAGGAAATTACTTAACATTTTGAAAAAAAAGTTTCCCTTAGTTTCTGCTCTAAAACTTTACAAATAAATAATCTTCCTTCTTAAATGTAGGCCAAAGTATATTACTCTACTTTTGTTTTTGGTAAAAAAAAATTTTATATTATTTAGTGTGTGTGAAAGTTATGGAGTATCCAAACTATGGCAAATACACTGTATTTCAAGGTTACCAACCCAGATGTTGTGAAGGCCGGTCACATTTCTTGAGGTCCTAAAATGCCAGGACAGTACAAACACCCTCCAAATGACCCTTTTTTGGAAAGTAGACACTCCGGGGTCTTTAGTAAGAATTGTGGCTATTTTTGTTGTAGTTGTAATTTTGTGTCACTTTTTTTGAAAAATGAAGCAAGTAAATAAAAGATGTTTTCTTCACATAGTTGTCATTTTAACAAGTTATTTCTCACACACGGCTTAGGTATACTTACAATTACACTCCAGAATACTTTCTTCTACTCCTCCTGAGTAATACATAGAGGGGCCCTGTGACAGAGGTGTGGGTGGAACAGAAGACACGCGGAGAGAGCAGGAGTACACACAAGGCTTTTATTGAAACACAGCTAGGAGCACATGACCGGTAGAGCAGAGTTCTGTTAGACAAAGGGTTAAGTCTACACACAGGATGGGGGCAGGGGGGGGGGCACAGTGGGGGGGCACAACTCTGGCTGGCAAAGGAGATTCAATCCATACACACAGGGTTGGCAGAATTCCAGCAGACAAAAGGTTTTAAGTCCCTAACACAGTCTGGGGTTTGCACACAGCAGAGGGGCAGAACTCCAGCAGACAAAGGGTTAAAATCCTCAGCACAGGGTTAGCACACAGGAGGAAACTGGCAGAACTCCAGCAGACAAAGGGTTAAATCCTCAGCACAGGGTTGGCACACAGCAGGGATAGAAAGAACTCCAGCAGACAAAGGGTTAAATTCCTCAGCACAGGGTTGCAAACAGGAATGGCAGAACTCCGCAGACAAAGGGTTAAATTCTCAGACATAGGGATTGGTCCAGCATGCAGGACAAAGGGTCCAGAACTCAGAGCAAAGGGTTAATCCAACACAGAGAGTACAGCCAGAGGTTGGTCTCAAGGAAAGGGTTGTGGGCATGCAGGACAAAGGGTCTGGCCACAGCTCAGAAGCAAAGAACAAAAGAAAAGACAGCGCACAAACCTTGCAAAGGATTACCTCAATTAACAATAAACATGTATATTTATTAATAAGTTATACTCACAAGAGTAGCAGTACAAAAGGCATATAACATCCAACACCAACGCAGGGTGAGACCACACGTGCGAGTTCCATCCAGAAGGGAGATAAACTCTTGCTCAACTCACGCGTTTCGAGGGGAGATCCCTTCTTCATCAGAGCTTAAAAGTCTGCAAACGGTTTGCAGGATTAATTCGTTTTCAGTGGTCAAAAGATAACTGACAGCCTCTCAGTTGAGTGTTTTCTGAGTCTTCATTCATAGGAGGCATTTAGCCGCTGTGTGTCAGGATTTCAGTGTTTACATCAAAACAGAGGCAAAACTTTTATGATTTAATTTCCTGAAAATGGACGGTGCATAAAATATGTACAAAGTATAAAAAGTTACAGAAAATACAAGAAGACACACAAATGACTATTCACTATAAAATAAAAGGAAAAAAACAGAAATAAAACTTTTACCAAGAATTATCCTGCGACTGGAGCAAGTCAGAGAAAGTCCACAATCCGTTAGGCGATAGAACCGGCTCAAATGAATCATCAAGTCCATACCTCGAGTCCTCAATTTATGGGAATATGGACGTGGGTGGGACATTAGTCCTTGGCCAATCAACCCTGGAGGGTGTTCCCGTACCAGCCCACAGGACGTTCTGGGTGCTGAAATGCCCAAAGTCCATTGGACCAGGAGCGGTTTGATTCACTAAGTCGGGGATTGAATTTCCGACACCAGCGCATCAGTCTGATCGCAACAGTATCAATCACTGTTCAGCTGTCACAATCCGGCGCATATAACCATTTCCTTCATTTCTCTGGCATTCTACATAGACCACAAATACAGTTTTACATGCAGATGTAGCCTACAGAGTGTCCAATCAGAAGGAAGTATTTTCATCTCTCTGCAACTAATATTTTAGCTTTTATGAGAGGTGAAACATTCCCCTTTGATCTTTGTATATACGTCAGAGCTCCCCAGACAGATCGGAGCCCCCCTGGTCTCCTGCAGCCAAAATGTCTGGGGTTCTTCTTTTATACCTCAGGAAGGTGGCAAAGTCTATTATAGGTAGGTGACAAATCTTATTGGCACTTAGGTGTCACTTCCAGCCTGAGGAAGCCGCTCTGTCTTTTCAGATACTAATGGGTGGGCACATGTCTCTGAGTACCTATGACTGAATATATGACTGAATACATCTTTAATGACAAGGAATGAAACTAAATGTACGATTACATATTGCTACAGATCACATCTCAGCTACTCACATCTGTACATTTATGTCACACCCTTCCTTACACTCACAGAAGGTGGTCAGAAGGTGATAATCCATTCTTAACTTCCTCCCAGCTCCCACTCCTGGATGGATGGATGGATGGACGGATGGATAGGGGTACTTTATGACCAGCTTGTTACTCTCAAGCCTTCGCTCATGATTCCTCAGTTTGAGAAATGTTTACAAAGA